TTCCCTAAGCTCTTTGGAAGCAAGTTAAAACCTTCGACTACCATGCATCCTGATAATTCTGTGAATTTTCCACAGGGGGAGATGTTTTCCTACTGCATGTATTTTAACTTTCCTGCACTGTAATCCAGAAAAGATGTTATTACATGGTCAGTTCTTGCCATTTGCTTCAGTCAGACACTTAAAAATACATCTAGCCTTGATTATTGTTAGTTTATTTAAAATAACATAATAATTATTACAGCAGGACTAAATAAAGAAATAAGAACTGATATTTATTCCTCTCTACCTCCTGACTAACTCGTTGCTGCACTTCTTTTCTAATCAACTCCTTCTTCTACTTCCATCTTAGTATATGATGATTATACAGTTTAAATAAACTGACATTCTAGGATTTATTTGATCCCTAAGAAAGAATTCTTAAGCACTGGACATCCCATTCAATACTCAGTAGCAACTCTTTTTACAAATTAAGAGAATAATTCTGAGTTGTCTGCTAGACTCAATGTGCCCTGCGAGCAGTGTGGACCATCAATAAAATAACAAAGAGAGGGTAGTGATGTACAAGCAGTGAATGTGTAAAACTCTTTGGCAGGCTCTCTCAGCAAGGGTAAAGGTGCTTCTCAGATCCCTCCCATGGCTGTGGGATGTGCTGCCAGGGGCTATCAGCAAACCCTCTTTTCCTCTTATCCCCAACTCATTGCTCACCACAGTAAGTTGGTGTCAACTAAAACAAGCCCCAGACTGTTCTGACTTACACTGCTGCCTGACACCTTCAAATCCAGAGATGCCTTAAAGCTGTCTTTTCCTCTTGTATGTTTGTTGCTGTCTATTTACAGAACAAATTCATCTGTGGTAAACCTCTGAGGTCCCTGCAAAGTCAAGTTGGCCCAGAAGGAGGAAGAGGGAGTTTACCTGGATTAGACTGCATGTTGATGTTTGTTCGAGAGACATAATTGCCTATTGAGCCCTGGCCTTGCATTGGCACATTCTGAGATGCAGGCACTGTGTGGCTATAACCAGGCCCAGTTCCATGACTGCTGACAGTCATACTCAGAGAGGTCGTGGGCATAGTGTTCTGGCCTGACTGCTGCATAGACACGTGGTTAGGACCTAGAAAAATTAAAGAGAGCAACAAGAAAATCTGTGCTGTTATTGGCAATGTACTGTTCAACGATTGCTAACCAATGTGAAATCATTTCTCGCTCTCAAAGTCTATCTGCACATCAAGACTGCTGTGTCACACAGCATCACTGTGCTAACTTGACTCTGGCTGGCACAGCATCAGTAGCCACAGAGACTGGCAACCAGGGTGAGCATCCCCAAGCCCAGAGGGGTGCGGGTCCTATTCTCCCAGCAGGAACCAGCAGCAACGCACGTGCCACCACCGCTGCTGTGACTGAGGCTACTGGGACGAGGCCAACTACTGCATCCTCAGCCACACCTTCGTTTTGAAGTGTAGCCATGTCCTCAGGCTGGTTAGAAACATGAGAAAATACCTGGCAGGCATAAAATATTACCTGGAACTTTTTGATTCTTTCAATCAGCACTAAAGTACTAGAAAGAACTGGAAGATGGGGGGCAAATGAAACAAACAAACAAAAAAAAGTAACAACAAACCCACTGAAAATGTAGATTCTTCTTAATAACACAAACCAATGTTTTGACTGACTTATTCTAATACTTAGATTAAGTAATAAATCTTTCAAAAAGAAGTCCCAGATAAATTGAATAAGTTCGCTTTACAAGCTGCAACTGTTTAAAGTAGGTACCTCACCCATTAGTTTAAAAGGTACTATCAGCTTAACCATAAATAGATTTTTTAAAAGTCAAAAATAATTTCATGGCTTGCATCTGCTCTTAAGTCCCCCTGCCGAGGTCTGGGATTTTACAATCAGATATTTCTATTTACAGGAACTGTTTTCTCTCTCTGTCACTCTGCAAAAGACCCACAGAACTGATTAAATAACTGTGAAGTACAAAATAAATAGACAGATTATTCATACTATAAATGCACAGAGTAAAAAAAAAAAAGTCATTTAGTTTCTTTTTGGTTGCACTAACGAAAAAAAACAAATAGACAAAGTATATTATCTGATTCATATGAAATGTCTGTGCAAGCTCTTTGGAGTTTCCTCTCTCTGTAGAGGAAAAAGACTGATGCAACACCAAATTATTTTTAAGGCAGCATGTATCCTGGGAAGTCTTGTGTGGTTAGTCATGCAAACAATTCCATTTTACCCTGGCCAACCCCAGCACTTTCAAGACAAAAATACCACAATATATATTTTTTTTCTTACTAAAAATTTGGATGCATCTTTACTTGGTGATTTTCATTCTGCTTTTTTTTTTTTAAAAAAAATGTTTTTAATTTCCCCTCTAGAAATACTAAAGAGATGAGAAGCCAACATCATTACTGACTGTAGCCATTTTGTGATGATTGCAGCATGTGCCTGAAATCCCCATCTGCCTGAAAGGTGAGTTAGGAGAGGTCTTTTACAGCTCTGTGAGGATATTCTGCATTAATGATTTTGTTGCTAAGCAACAGCAAAGCAGCACAAAGGGGACCAAAGCTCACCATTGCTAATCTGACTCTGCATGAGGGAGGAAGGAGGAAGGCCCGTCCCAATCGCATCACTCAGATTGCTCTGGGAATGGAGAGATTGGTTGGATGCGCTCTGAGTCATTCCTCCGGGGCCCAAGTTGATGTTTTGCGTTGGTGGCTGTAAATAACAAAGAGGAGAAGCAAATTTTTTGTTAGGTTTTAATTAGAAAAAAATAATTCACCCCCGAATTAGCCTGACTATGACTAAAAACTGCCTCGACTCCATACGTCCTTCCTTCATTTGACTCCTGTGTGTGAATGACATTCAGTGATACAGAGAACCCGGCAAGCAGCACAGGGAAGATCTTAAAATTGTGTTTGTAATAGAGTCTGTGCCCATTCTTCTGTACTTAGGTGAATGTTGTGCTGGTCAGAACACAACTGCTGAGGGGATGTGCATTAGCAAAGACGATCCAGAAGCGTGCTGACAAACTGACCTTTGTCAAGCGTGAAGCTATGCTGTGTTCTGCCTTAGCTTTGATACCTCCAAAATCAATCCATTTAGCAAGAATAACACAATGTTTAAAGACAAACCAATGCCCAAATGCTGAATTAGATTTTTGATATCAAATAGTGTCTTTTTTTTTTTTCCTGAGTAGAGAACACAGTAAGAATTGAGTAAAAAATAATGAATCTGGAACAAATGGAGCCTGTTCAGATCTGTACCTCTGCACCACTTACAGTGTGTAAACCTTGTGCTATGGAGACAAGAGATTAACACAAATGTCCCAAATAATGTGTTTTAAACATACTAAAAGTAGCTTTTGATTTCTTTTTTTTTTAATTTTAGTGGTCTACTTGACACCTTCAAAACTTTTAGCTGGAAAAATACAAAAAATGGTTTATTGACAGTGATCAATAACAGAATCAAAGAACATTTCCCTCTGGCACAGTAAATGTATCTGATGGTAGCACTGGTACTTACAGCAGGAAGCAAGGACTGCATATTCTGGTTAGAATCTGCTATTGTGGCCAAGTAAACCAGGTTTCTGTGCAAGATTTGTTGGTATCTACAGAATAAGGAGTAAAGCTTATTTGGAAAGGGTTAACAATACAGAAAATCCCAAACTTTTAGCCTTTTTTTTTCTTTACAAATTACATTAGCCCACTTTTCATCTGTCCTAATAGCAGCAATAATAACCTATATCTGTGCTGTCATGCTTTTTCATCAAGGATCAGTGTGTTCAGCACCTCTTTACAAATGGGCAACCCTTGGGGAAGGGAGAGGTAAAATTCAGTCTCCTTTGAAAGCACTTTGAATGAACTGTGAAGCTGAGACCTCAGTCTTTGAGTACTGCTCTAACAATTAGCCACTCTCTCTTCCTCGGTTTAACAAGGCTCCTAGTAGTAATGAAATTCCAAAACTCCCCTGCTAGCAAGCTGAGAAGAACAAGATTTTTTTCAACAGTGGTTTAACTGGAGTGTTTACTCAAGTGAGCACCACCAGAACCATTTGTGCCCCTTCACAGTTCTCCATGAACTGGAAAAGCTCATAATAAAGAACAGGAAGGCATCCAAAAGCAAACTAACAGCTGTGCCACTGAGCCAAGTGAAGAGTCAAACTTTTGGAAACAGAGAGGGTTCCAAGAAGGCAAGAGAAACTGCTTTTTTTTTAGCATGAGTTTTCTTCTGATAAGGAGAAAATGGGTGGGAAGCAGAAAAAGTGGGGAAAATGAAGCCAGAATGGTGATGTGACTTCTTTAGCAAAGGTATATATTTTTTTAGACAATTTTTTTCCAAGTACAGCTTTCTGCCTTTGGCCCCATAACTTGACCTTTCCTGGGGCAGAATGACTCTTCTTCCTGACTGAGATTTAACCCATCAAGTTTATAAAAGCATTTTGCTTTCAGCATTAGGAAGCAAGCAGTGACACAAACAGATCTATGTGCATATCTTTTTAGCCATAGCTAACCACAGTGCTGATCTTTAACATTTAATTACTTTCTGATGAAAATGTGTTATGAACTTTGCACCTGATTCTACTCGTATTTAATGAATCTGCATAGAACAAGTGGCCCATCAACCATAATTGTTTATAATTATTCTAATAAAAGATCTGTTAGAAATACTGTAAATACACAAATACTTTGGGGGAAAAAAAAAAATCTCTGTTCCAAGAACAATATACATGTCTTAGTACAAGTGAATGTAAAAAAAAAATAGTCCAAGTATTTTCTCAGTGATCAGTGAACAGAACTGTTCATAGTACTGTTCTTGTGCTATGTACAAGAACTAAGTGTACATAAGTGTGTACTAAGTACACCAAAAATTTCTAACATACTCCAAAACACACAATACTCACTGAGTACATTCTGCAGTTTTCCCCTTGCTCTGATAATCCATAATACATTGTATTAGGTGGTGATTTTCATCTAGCATCTGCATAAAAGAAATATGAGCAAATCACATTACTCCAAGAATCATTAAAGTCCCATGTTTTTGTGATATTCAGCCTTCTTGGCAGGGGATGGTTTTTGTTGCCTTGGGTTGTTACAAAGTACCTACACGTGGCTTTATTGAACCACAAGATTGTGCTTTTCAAATCATTCATTTACAAACAGATATCTTGAAAGGAGTTAGTTAAAATACCCAACACTGAAAAATTAATGGACTTACCTTTTTTGCTCCTTAAGTGGCAGCTAAAATTTTTCGCTAAAGAAGGAAAATGGTTTCTCGATGAAATACCTCTGCCTCATTCTCAAATATCACCCAAACCCTTTCCAAAAGTTTAGATTTTACTAACGTGCCTACTTTCAAGTAAGAAACATAGTTTTGAACAATTTAAACCTACAAGTTTTCCTGCACAGGACTAGTGTGTGCAGACTTCTGAGCTTGATGAAGTATAAAATTCACATTACTGGATCTACTGAAACCACATTTGACAGAATTACATCCCAAAATGTCCTTCAGGGTAGTTCAGTTCTAATAGAGGGAGGACTTAAAATGAAAACACAGAGTAATTATATATCAGTTAATTTATGTGTATCACTGCCTGCTAGCTTAGCTTCATTCAATAAATTCTAGTGACTGACTTGGCCCAAGAAGATCAGAGTTGCTGGACAAAATGACCACTGACCTTTATTTAATGAACTTATAATACAACTAAAAGCTTAAAATAGCCTTTGATTTGTTTTAAAATTTCAAATACAATAATTTGTCTCTTTGCCACCAGCTTTCTTGTGAATGTGGCGAGCTTTCTGCAAGTGAACAAAGAGAAAACCAGTATTTACAAATTTAGATTTGCCTCTGGCAAAAACACACTCCAGAACACGGTTTGTAGGCACCGCTGCTGTTAAGTGCTTGCAAGATTGGGTCTTTGAAGCACTGTGTCATCAGGAGAGAAGAACAACGAGTTAAATGTGAATTAATCCATGTAGGTACGTGTTCTGATCAGAACAAATCCTTGACCCATTCAGATGCAAAGGAATATAGGAAATTATAGGAAAATGAGACTTTCTGATGCACTCGCAATCTAGTGAGTCACTCCCTTAGAGAACTCAGCTTGTCCTGCTTCTTGCTTGTCATTTACAAGTTGGTCTTAACTTTGCTGGATGCCCTTGTCCATCACAGGCTCTGACTGCTGGAACTTGCAGAGATCCCCTGTGGCTCAAGTCAGCGAGGGTCTGAGGAGCAGAAGTGTTGCTGGAGGCTGCTCTCTCCAACGCTGACAGGGAACATCAGAACCGTGCCACTCAAGAATCCGTGTTCCTCCTGCACGGGTGCCTATGGCAACATGGCAACCCCGGTGCAGCCTGTCATTTTTAGAGAAGATACTCCTGCCTGATTCACAGTGCAGCTCTTTGTTTCATGCTCTCTACTCATTGTCATACAGAATTTTCACCTGTCAGTGGAAATTCTGTATATAGAATTAGCAAAGAATATCAACCCGTCCTTTTCCGTTTCCACGAGAGGTATCACTGACAGTATTTTCACGTTCAGTTATGATATGTATTCAACAGCAAGAATCCAAGCAATATTACAGGTATCTCCATCAGTAAAGGGCTCTGCTTCTACAGTGAGCTGAAGAACGTGTTGCTTACTGAAAAAGGAATCGAGAAGAGCTCTTTTCCTAACTTACTAGGAAAAAAAGAACCGAGTGCTGATCTCCATTACACGGAAGAAACTGAAGTTTACTGCCCTGCAAATGCTGTTTGATGAACTATTTGAAAGTACCACCACCACTGCTGTCTTGTCAAAAGCTCCAGCTTCCTCCATGTGAAAGCTATTTAAGAACAGCTGGTACTGGTATAATACAGCTTTGAAAGACGGTCAAAATTGAGTTAATAAATAAAAATAAGCTGCTTATCTATTACAAATGCGAGTAAGAATAATCTTCTTTTTTCAATGGAATTGGTATGTGTTCTAAAAAGCTCACTTTAATGAGGATTTTTGGAGTTCCTAGCCCAGCACCTGCTCCTTCTCTCACTGCCCCATTTCTACACTTGACTCTAAAGCCCACCCAGTCACTGTGCCAGCAAGTCTCTTCCTCAGCATCACCACTTGTCCAAAAGAAAATCGCTGCCAACAGCCCAACACTGATGAACAGTCCTGAAGTAACATGCCAGCAGATTTACCCGAGATGGGAAATGTTTTTACACATTATTGGTAAAGAAATAACATTGTGAACGTTCCATAAAGTTTATGAATATGCAAAAAGGAAAGGGTTTGAAAATCAAATTGAAGGTGCTTTGGCTGCCCGTTGTCTGTGGATACAGTCATGGTTTTACATATAAACTGTCTGAATTATTAAACAGAAATAAACCCCTGACCAATCTGGAGGTTAGAAAAAAACTTATCCACTGAGTCTGAAATATTTTAGTATTTAAAATTAATTGGTTCACAGTACAACATGTGCTGCAAGAGCTACACCAAATGGGACTGGTATCCAAAAAGTCTCCTGAGATTCAAGTCATGTCTTCAGACTCTCTTGGGGCAGTTTGTTCTGTCTTAGCCTCTTTTCAGTCACAATCTTCCACTGAGGCTTTTTTTTTTTTCCCCTAGAAGTCATGAATTGACACCAGATAATGGTTTGGCTGCAAAACCCACTGATGATGGGTCAGTTGCTGTGTTAGCAGCGGCACTTCTGCATCGGTCACTGTTTAGGAATGGACCGTGTACAAGACACACACCTCCCTTCCACCGCCCTGCACAACTCCGCGTACACAAAATACCTGTGTGGTGGGGAAGACGCAAAAAATACGGCAGAAGTACAGCGGTCAAAGTAAAAACATGCATGTTCTTTATGGACATTTCCAGCCTCTTCCTTCCTGACGTTACCTTCTGCAGGAGGAAAGGGCGTCAGGTGTGTGTGCAGAGTCCCTGCTGCCAATCCTGTGAAATAGGAAACAATAACTTCCCCACTAGGAACCCTCAGCTTTGGCCTCCACATGAGACCCAGGAGGAGATCTCTTCTCCGGGGAAAAGCTTTCAAAACCTTTGTTTGTCATTAAACATCAATAAAACGCATCAGAAATAATCGTAATAGTAGGATATGAAAAATGCCAGTGGTTGGTGCTCCCTCTGTCTTCCGAGAGATTAAAATTCTGCACCCAAATACAAAAGAAACCCTTTCCAAATTCAGTATTTTATTTTAATTCATTTTTTTTGGGGGGAGGGGGGTGTGGAGGGGGTGGTGGTGCTGCAGAAGCTGACATACCATCAGAAATCAATCACATCTTTGCAGATTTCATTGCCATTTCCCAAGGAATTTTCGGCAGCTCTTTTTTCCCCCCTTGGGCGAGCAGCAGCGATAACGAAACCATCCCAATTTTATTCTTTCCCTCGCTCTCTCCTTGCAACGAACGATCTCAAAACACCTTTGCTTTGTTCCACCTCCTCCTTCAGAAGCTGACATACCATCAGAAATCAATCACATCTTTGCAGATTTCATTGCCATTTCCCAAGGAATTTTCGGCAGCTCTTTTTTCCCCCCTTGGGCGAGCAGCAGCGATAACGAAACCATCCCAATTTTATTCTTTCCCTCGCTCTCTCCTTGCAACGAACGATCTCAAAACACCTTTGCTTTGTTCCACCTCCTCCTTCTCCTCCTCCTCCTCCTTCCCCCACCTCTCTCTCCAGCTGTCCATCTTTGCAACCTTCACAAATTCACCAGTTGGTTTTTTTTCCCTGATCGCCTTAGAAATCCCCCTCCTTCCACTGCGGGGAAATGCCTGAAATTGTGGGTAGAAAAACATGCTTTTTTACCTTCTGGATAGTTTGCTGGGTCACCTCCCCTTTGCCTCTTGGGCGAGCAGAAGCAAAGGCAACCGACATGGTGGTTTGTTTGTTTTTTGGGTTGTTTGTTGGTTGTTTTTTTTTTTAATGTGTCTATAAAATCCCGGTTCCAGGCTCTGATAATATTGTTATTATCCGGCTGCTATTGCCCTGCACAGATTCTCCGCAGTGCATGGGGAGGGGGG